TCGTGAAGCACCTAGACTTCCCAGCAGAGAGCAGCCACACAGCTTCTGTGTTTGAGACTTTGGAGCTTGGCACTGCACTGTAATTGTAGAAAGACAAAGGTTTATCTTTCCCATGAACCCAGTGTAACTTCTGGAGGAACAGCACACATACCTGCAGTCAGCTCTTCAAAATGCCTGAAGGCCTTACCTGGCTGCTGACATGGGCAGCCAAGAGAGGGTAAGAAAGAGGGAAGAGAGAAAAAGGGATTCAGAGCACCTAAATTAAAAGTCCTGGTACAATTACACAAGAGGAGCAGCCTTTTCTCCCTTGACTTCTGAAGGAGTGCTCCCCAGTGATGGAAAAGAAGGGCAGGATTAGTAATAGCTAAAAACTTCTCAAATGCAAGCCCTGATGAATACTGCAAAGTTAGAGCTTCAGGTGCAATTTCAGAGGGATGATCTCCTTCTTTAGAGACAAAAGTCTTCAAGAAAAAAAATGAGAGCAAAGTATGGAAATTAAGACACATACCCCCCACCACCACTCCCCATTTGCATTGCCAAGCACGATGCTATAGGGCATGGATTAGCCCTTTGGCCAGCTCAAGTTGTGTCCCCTCCCAGCTGCTGGCCTGCCTCCTGGGCAGGGGCTGAGGGAGGGAAGAGAGGGCCTTGACACTGTGCAAACAGGGTTCATCAACAGCCAAAACACGGCTGGTTTAGCTGCAAATCCAAAACACAGCCCTGTAACAGCCTGCTAGGAAGAAGGTTAACTCTGTCCTGTCCAGACACTGCACAACAGAAAATTAACTTTGATTTGGAAAATAGGGCAGTTAAGAAATACCAAGAATGTCCTCAAACTAGAAAAAGTAATGTGTATCTTCAACTTTTGTGGTGTTATACAAGCACTTCATATTGAAGTGGTTGTATTAGCTCTTGGCTTTTCTGGACAGTAAAACTTTTGAGTGCAAGGGAGTGAAAATCATCTACAAATCAGAATTCTGATCCACACCTCGGCACTGGTAACTCCTAAATAAAGGTGGAAGGGTGAAAAGCCCCACAGCCAGCACAGTTGCAGTGTATGGGGCCTGCCAGACGCAGCTCAAGAGCATTCCCTCCTTGACCTCCTTTTGCCCTGGCTTCACATTCATTGAGAGGGGATCTGCTATCTCCACTTCTGGGGAAGGTTTAAAGGTGACTGGATCACCTTTTGTTTTCTGGCTGCAAAAGAACAGAGGAGAAAAGCCACAGTTTACTTAAGAGGAGTGCGGTAATGCCAGTCCTGGTGCTGAATTAACTCAGGGGAAGAGCATTTCAGATGGGAGGTTTCCTGTCTGACAAGCTGAGGAGGTAGAAGCTGCCTATTACTGATCCTCATCACTGCCCACAGTGTCAGCCCAGGTCCTTTTCATTTCTGCGTGCAGCTGATGGACCACACCAGAGACTGCTGCTCAGGGCATGGAAAACCTGTTCGGTCACCAGCCAGGCCTGGAAGCCAGCATGGCTTTGCTGTCTTCAGCAAAATCACCTAATCTCTTGGTGCTTTAGATTTTCCACCTGAAAAAGTGGTAATAGTATCCATCTTACTTTGTGCCACTTAAAAAAAAAAAAAAAAAAGAGGAAATGCTATTTAACAATGCAACGATCTAATGTTCTACTGTATAAAAATGCCAACTTCTAAATTGACTCCAGAATAGAAAACCCATGAAGTAAGCTTTGTAAGTCTGCTTTGTCTACAAAAAAAAAAATGTTTTCTGTTTATACTTGCCCAAAGTATCATTAAATCTCACCTCTGGGTTTACCTGCTGAAGGTGCATGCTCAGCAAGAGCTCTGCAGTGCTGCAGCACTGTCCTTGCCCAGCCAAAACAGCAGCAGGGGAGGAGAAGAGCAGCAGGGAGCTTCAGATTTTTTGCATGCCTTGGAGAGACAGATAAGCCTGTCTGTTCCCTTTGCGTTTCTGCTCCCCTATTAATTATGCATCTGCTGCAAGAACTGCATGAACAGAAGAAGGTACAGTCTATACTCATGTGTGTCTGGAGCTTTATCACTGCCCCTCATGTCCTTTGATCTATATGCCATGGTACCTGCCCTGACACAGGGAAGCTGCATCCTTCAGTTCCATGGCTGATTTGGGAATGAGGGAAAACAGAAGTGTTACGGGAAGGTGGGGGGACTGAATGCAACATTTTTATACAGTTGAGAGGAACTGAGAAATGTCACTGCACACAAAAAAGGTCCCACTGTAAATGCAGGAAGAACAAAGTCAAGTTAAAAGATGTAACAGAGGTAGTGGCTGCATTATTTAGAACTCACCCATAACTGTGTGATCTTACACTGGATGTGACACCATCGTGAAACCCTCCTGTTGGATTCACATCCATCAGCTGTCACCGGGCTCTGTAGGAGTAAGTGCATGTTACTGCCTCCACCTGTCTCATCGACTCTGGTCAGAGGTAAAGCTGCCCAAGTCCCACCCACCTATGTTAACAATGCTGAAGGATCAGCTAAGGAGGGGCATTGGGGTTGGTTGGACATTATTGAGCACAAGTGAGCAGCCAGAGCATGTGGCAGTGTGTGACCTGATGAAGGGTGCTGTCCGGAGGGAGATACACAGTCAAATATGTGAAGCATGAAGCTGACAAAGTAAATTCAGGATAACCAAGGCCTGAATTTGCTCTTTCAGTGGACCATGTCTGGATGCACTCCATGCAAAGGCACAAGCAGCAGGTCTGGCCTAAACCCACTTCCATCACAGACGAACTCAAATGCAGAATACCAGAAACCAGTCTGTTCAACAGATATTTTGGAGTGCAGATTTACCCCAGCTGAAGCACCCCAAGGAGCCACATGTGTGTTTAAATAATTTGGTTTAAATAAACTAATAAACAAAATACAACTTCACTTTCCACCCAAAGGCCTATTTCTGTGAGCAGAGTTAAAATCCCATCCTGAATCTGCTCATATCAGCTGATGCGTTTAATTCCAGTGACATAAGGAAGAATAAAAGAGGTGTCAGCATAGGTCTTATGCCCAAGGAAGTGGGAGGGAGGTTTCCCTTTGAAAAATGTGAGGGCCCTTACCTTGCTCTAAGCATACCACCAAAATAGCTGGCAAGGGAGGAAACCTGTGAGTTCACTCCTCAGAAAACACTGCAAAAATATAAAGTGAGGTTTCTGTGATATGACCTGGCCATCTGATACTAACAGAGCAAAAACTTCTAAAGAAATGAAGTTGGCAAACAGTATGGTTAACAGCAAAACTGTTTCGGGAAATAGGCATGAACAAGAATATTAAAATTGCAAGTTTTATTATTTTTAATAAAAGAATCACATCTGTACTACTTATTGGGAAAAAAAACCCCACAAACAAACAAAAAAACCAAACCCCAAAACAACCCACAAAACATCCTAAGAGCTGACAGTAAAACATTCCGCAATTGTAGATTCACAAGCTCATGAAGCAGAGTTACAGTGAAATCTTATCAAGTCATGAGAGGAGCCGTCACTACCACACAAGACTATCCAGAGACACATCTCCAAGAGGTTCTCATTTCAGTTTTGCAATCTGGGTACCACTTGCTTTTATACAAGGGTAGTTCAGGATGTGTAGCACAGGCTGAGTCTAAATCAAGTATTTCCACAGAAAGCTGTTGATAAGAAGAGTCACCGCTTCATTTTGAGCACAGCTCAGAATCACAGAATCAACTAGGTTGGAAAAGATCATTTAGTCCAATCGGTGACCTAACACCACCTTGTCAACTAGACCACGGCATTAAGTGCCACATCCAGTCTTTTCTTAAAGACCTCCAGGGATGGTGACTCTACCACCACCCTAGGCAGCCCATTCCAATGCCCAATTGCTCTTTCTGTGAAAAACTTCTCCCTAATGTCCAACCTAAACTCTCCTGGAGCAGCTTAAAACTGTGCCCTCCTGTCCTGTCGCTGGTTGCCTGGGAGAACAGACCAACACACACCTGGCTGCAACCTCCTTTCAGATGGCTGTAGAGAGTGATGAGGTCTCCCCTGAGCCTCCTCCTCTCCAGGCTAAACAAAAGCTCCCTCAGCCACTCCTCATAGGAATTGTCCTCCAGACTCTTCACCAGCCTCATTGCCCTTCTTTGGACACGCTCCAGCACCTCAACATCCTTCCTGAACTGAGGGGCCCAGAACTGGACACAGTACTTGAGATGCAGCCTAACCAGTTCTGAGTACAGGGGAAGAATCCCTTCCCTTGTCCTGCTGGCCACACTGTTCCTGATACAGGCCAGGATGCCATTGGCCCTCTTGGCCACCTGAGCACACTGCTGGCTCATGTTCAGCCTGCTGTCAACCACCATTCATCACCGCTCTCTGGGCCCCACTGTCCAGCCAGTTCTTAACTCAGTAAACAGTGCACCTGTCAAACTCCATGGCTTTTATACAAGCAGAATATTTGACCAGTAAGAAATATAATTTTCAGGTTTACCTATTGCAAATACAAGCTGTAAAAATAAAAAAGCAATTTATGATTCAAGTATTTAGACTCTCAAATGCTATAAGCTGTATTCCCTTCTCTCTGAAGAACTGAGCTTACCTGGACAAAATTTGGTCTAATTGTCCTGAACAACCTCCTGCTTCCACACTGCTCCAGGAACAAGAACAGAAGAAACTATCATCAGAGATGAAACTATGACCTGCCTTCTGAAATGAGAGTGCTGGAAGAGCACAAGCATTCCACCTGGCTTCGGATCATCACACTTCTTCAAATACAAAGCACTGATGTTATTGCATGCACTGGGAAACTGGGCAGTTGGATGTCAGTGCAGTTAGACTATGTGAATACACTCCATATTTCTTTCTGTTGGTGAACATCTTATGACAAATATAGCTTTAGTGAGTGGCACACCAAAGCAGCCACACCAGAGTACTGCATTCATCATTCCAATCTTGCTACATCTCTTGCATGTAAGCAAAGATCTACATCTACACGTAGATCTTGATCTACATGTAAGCAAAGAATCTATTTTAAAGCAAACACCACCACATTTTTGTTTCTCACTGTAGTATTCATTTTCCTTTTTAAGGGTGACATTGCTAGTAAGTTATTTCAAAGTATCTCCATGATTTTGGCATTACAGGTGACAACAATTTGGTAGTTAATTAAAATTCTCATATGTTCAAACACAGAGTTATAATATTATTCTCCCTCTCCATACCGCTACTAATACAGATCTACTCAATGTCCCTAAATTATTATCAGGATGCCATTAAAAAGACTTGATCCCTTAGGTATGGTTAAGAATCATTACATGTTAGACCATTCTGTTAAGCCAAAAGCTTGGACAGAGCTCCTCTAAAACTCTGTTCCCCTTTGCTTCCCACACGGAAGGATGTAAATTGAGAAGCAAAATCAGCACAGTTATGTCAATCAGCTTGGAGCAACTTCTCCCCACTCCATTACTCCCCTTCTGGACCAGGCACCCCGTAAGAGACCACTGATTCCGCAGGGAAACATTTGAAGCCTCTTTCAAACTGCTAGCACACTTCCCCTCTCTGGTGCAGTCCTTTTTACCCAGCCCTCACTTTCTGCTAGAAGTTTCCATTAAATGGTTTGATTCCAGTACCCCAAGTTTAGAGGAAAGCTAATCCTCAATAAAAGTCTCAAACTCCCACAAAAATGGATTATTCCTAGAAGATGATCAGCTGCACTGGCTGGCATTACTTGCTGCCTACTTCTTCGAGGTGCTTCCTCTTTCAGCTGCACCGTTCTTCCATGGGCTATGTAAATACACCTTTATTTTGTTCTTTTCTGCAAGAACTCCAAAACCTCACAGAAAGTGCTGTACTTGTCAGAGATTCTAGTTTGTCATAAATAAGTTTCTTCAGCTTGAAGGCAGGACAGAGTGAATGTTTACATTCAAAACATAGTCTGTGTACTGCAGCACTAAGGAGGACAAACTGATTATTAGTACAGACAGATAAGCAGCAGTCCAACTGTTCTTCCTGGTTTTTGACAGCTTGTACAGAGGAAGACTTAAAAGAGCACAATTCTACCTGAGCTAATACCAAGCTTGCACAGGGGTAGTGGAAGAATTTACTTGAGTACACATAAATCACAGTGTAAGACAGTGGTCTCTTTGGAAAAGAGAAGCCTTTGCATTAAAGCAAACTTTGCAGGTGTCTGAACCAGTAACAGTCTTTTAGAAAGAAGTTCAGAAAGCTAAGTAACATCTAATTACAGAACAACTCTCTTTTGCTAATGTGGCAATAATGGCAACCAACTTTCCCCTGAAACCTCAACAGAAATGTTACCAATAAGTAACTTGCAAGCAAGTCAGCTCCTGTTCTCCTCCCACATCCTCCATCATCTTTCACACAAGCTCAAATAGCACATTTCTGAATGGCAACTTCAAACTTAAAGATTTTTCAAAGACCATGTAAGTAAACTAAATGGTGCAAGACCAGATTGGGAATGGAACAACCCCACTGACCAGTGTGATGAGCAGGCACCCCACATACACGCTTCTCATACAGCGAGACTTAGAAGCACAGAAAAAAATACACAGTGAACCCGGATTTGAGTGCTGGGGTAGTTTAAGGTTCACTAATTTGGCTAATGGATCCTGCCCGAGGCAACTGGCTTACAAACTGCACTCACGAGTTTAGTAAATATTTACACATGTTGTATGCAACATCCTGAGCCTGAATAAACTTCATCACTAAGTTTTCAAGTGCAAATGTATATAAACTCCCTTAATTCTGGTCTTAAAAAAAATTCGATTCCTCCCTCCAAACTTGAGCCTGCCCTGCACAAACTCTCTGAAAATAGATAATGATTAAATACCAATCTGAAGGTTCACAAGAAATGAACTACTTAATTAAATGAAACATAGCTTCAAATAAGCAACACTGAATTTGTTCCTCCAATAAAGAAGACTAAAAGTTCCTGCATAGAGAAAGCAGTAAATAAATATTAGAAGTACTATTAGTTAAGACATCGGACAAAAACAGATCAGATTCCTGTCTTGCTATTTTTGTCTTCACATAACAACAACTGCATTTGGATGTTCAAAATTCAGCCTGCCTCAGCATAAAATATTGCTTTACACTTGTGATGTAGTATGGATAAAGGAAATACTTTCAGCCTCAAAACACTGAGATTACTGATGTATAGGAACTGTTAATTGTCATTGGTTTGTTCCACTGATCAACAATTGCTTCCAATTAAGGACAGATGAAGAATGCTGCAGATGCATCCAAATGTAGGGTTGCCTCAATAACTTAATAGCACTTTGATATTTGCCTTGCTGAATTCTTCACTGCTGAAGGAGAATCAGAGTCTTCAGTTTACAGCAAAAAACAAAACAAGGCAGTTATGAAGATCATGTAACGCATAGCTCTGAAGCCCAAAGTGGAGGTTTGCTGCAATATGGTAGTTTGCTTCTGGTCTCTTCAGCACAAGCAGCTGCTGTGGCAGTTGCTCCCTCCTCTTCTGCATCTTCCTTTACCTCCCTGAAACCTTCTGCTTCTTGGAATGGATGCTCTAAAAGTTTCAGTACATTTCTTACCTAGAGAGAAAACATTGCGTGGTTTTGAGAATTTAGAAAGTGAAGGAAAAATGATGTGGAGAAGAACTTCACACCAAATAATCAATATATTGTATTTAATACATGAACTCTAGACAAGCCAAATATTAAATAGGTGAACAATATACATATCAAATAAGCTGAAATCAGAAAATCAGTAATTGAAACTGGGTTTGTATCTGTATGGGACTCAAGCTCAAATAACCTGAAATGCAAGTACCTTTCTCAAAACAAATTAATTTCCCCATATTCTGCATGTAACATTCCCTGTGCTGAAGCCCATAGGTGAAAGCCATAAGTTTTAAAAGATAAGCTTAAGTTGTGCCAGGGGAGGTTTAGGTTGAATACTAGGAAAAAATCTTTTACAGAGAGAGTAATCAGGCATTGGAATGGGCTGCCCAGGGAGGTGGTGGATTCACTCTCCCTGGAGGTTTTTAGGATGAGACTGGATGTGGCACTTAGTGCCATGGTCTAGTAACCACAGTGGTGTTGGATCAAGGGTTGGACTTGATGATCTCGGAGGTCCCTTCCAACCCAGTTGATTCTATGATAGCACTTAGCACGGCAAGGAACAAGTATAAATTAATCCTCAACTGCCTCCCAAGATAAATGCCACCCTCAAGAAAGAAAAAGCAGGGTAATTATCTTGTCCAGGAGTCAGCCTACAAAAGCTGGTGAAGTTCAGAGTCAGATTTTTGATACAGTTATTTGTTCTGCAGTCATTAAAATTACAGTCTCCTCAAAAACAATACAGATCTCCTGAACAGTGAATTTCCAATGCACTTACTGCCCGAGATGCCAGACCAAATCTTGGCAAGCATAATGTCAGTCATCTACACCAGCGCTACATATCCATGCAAACCTAGAGAGGGTGTAAGTAGTAACAGCATACCTCTGAGAAATCCCCATTTTCAGCTGCTTCTATGGCATTCTGGGCAATATAATTTCTCAAGATATATTTTGGATTGTTTGAATTCATGACCTTCACATGATCAGTGTTCCAGGCATCAGCATCACCAACACTTTCTATTTCTTTTTGCAAACGGACTCTGAAATTAAGCAAGTGACAACAACAGGTTTGGATCAAGAATCATATGTGGAAGTTGATATGTTTCCTTGCTTTGAGATCCTTAGTTTGCAGTTCTTAATGAACATTACATCATCTATAATCCTCTCAGTTTATAAAATGCAGCATGACAACAGAATATAAAACGTCACTTAATTCATAAAAGCAGCACTACAGACTGTCAGCAGGTCCTGACAAGGCTCAAGAAAGTGGCACACCACAGCTTTTGTGTTCTCTCAAAGTCAGATCAAGACACTGGTGCATGCTCCACAAAGACTGCCACATTCAGGTCTTGTCTTTTAAGTATTTCTATGCTTGTTTATTGGTTAAGGTTTTGCTGTTCTGATAAAAGCAAAGGGATGTAATACAGCTGAGGCAGCTTGATCTACTTTTTATCAGTAATACTCACTAAAAGTGAGCCCCCCTGGAGAACAAGATCAGCCAGGTAAAGAAAGGACCTAATCCACACAGTACAAACAACTAATGCTCTACTCAGGGGTTTTCTTTACAAAAAACCCTGCTAACACTTAGGTTTTAGAAGAGCCTGGACATTTTTTCCTGGCCACGATTTCTTTTACAGCTACTCTTTGATTAAGAATAATTCTACTTGATTTCTATATTAATACAGAGATTTTTCTTTTAGAAAAAAAATTTGAAGGATAAAATGTTTAGAGGTCAGTCAGTTGTAGTTACTGAGCACTTAAAAGTTCACAATTGAAATTAGTCTCTGTTAGAATCAACATCAACACTCTTGAAGCACTTTTAATACTAGATTTGATGCTAGGTGATTTCTACACCCTCAACCTACCACAAAATCTAGCAAACAAAGTACAGAGATGCCCTTGAACTTTCACAGCAACAAAGACACTGAAGCAGACAATATTCTAAGCTGGATGTCCTCCCTATTTCTCCTAATCTATGTTTGAGAGAGGGTGCCTTTCATGAGACAGGCACATCGTTCTCAAAATGCAAAAATACAGTGCTATGAATACTGAGAAACTTTACCTGTATTTCTCCAGCCATTCCTTCCAGTGTCTTTTATTTCTGCTGAGTAAATCAGCAGCTGTTAACTGCTGCAGTTTAGAGAATTGTTCAATGCGTTCTAATTCTTTATTTATATTAGCTTTTGTTCCAATTAATGCAAACAGCTGCGGATTAGACTGAGCCAACATCAGCATCATTGACAGTTGTCTAGGAACAAAAAGAACAAACACATTAGATATTGAAGTTGAGCTGCCTGTCAAGAAGCAACTCTTAGCAATCAAACTAGATATGAAAACATTCACAACAAACTATGATTTAGAAATAACAGAAATTCATAATTAACAAAACCATTTTTAAAATTATAAATTATGCTACTTTTATTTTTCTTTCCCCCAGATATATAAAGAGCAGACAGTAGATTTTCAGAATTACCAGTTGAGTTTAGTTGTGCAGGTCTTATCAAAATACCCTTGGAACTTTGAAATTAATTTGGAATAAAAAATTTGATCTTACTTAGCTATCAAGATAATACAGAATTCACAGGTTTTGTTGTTTGGGGTTTTCTTATTTCTTTAACACCTACTGATTTTATCAGTACTAATAAAAACCTACATGACACGGGGAAAGATACTTCATTTAAATTGCATGAGACAACACTATGTTTAATATTTTCAGTTAGCCAGTTTAAATCACAGAATGAGAATTGCTTTTTGGTAATAAATTCCTAACAATATCCAGACTGTTTTGTTGCAAGTTTGACTAGGACTTATCTTTTCACATTTTACTGTGTTAGCTGGTGTTTCACCTTATTTTTTGATACCATGCTAGCTAACTTTTATTTTTTCTGGATTAATAACTAAAGTACAGCATAAAGTAAAATAAAAAAATAGAGTCGCAGCCTATCAAAAGTATGTTTATCTCCTTTATGAAGGAGAAAATAAATATTATTCCCTGGCCTCAAACGACAACTCATTATAGTTGGTTATATTTTCCTACTTTTAGTAAGCAGAGATAAGTTGGGTGCTTTAATTTCTGAGTTTACTATATAAAGTACTATGCAAATATGATTTATACATCTGACATGCCTACCTCTATGATATCCAAGAGCTGCAATTAAAAAATCAGTTATGTACTCACCCATATCATGGTGATTTATAGCTGCTTTTCATGTTTCTCTAGACCTGAATGCAGTGTTTAAAAAATACTGTCTCATCTCTATCACACAAGCTATATTCATATTGTGGTATCAACACAAAGAAAAAGCTGAAAAATTTGGTAGGTTCGTCACCTCCATGGAGCACTTATTAAGCAAAGTGGGGGAGGGGAACATACCCAAAATACCTTTATTTTTTCCCTCCTCTGCAAGTGAAAAACGGATGCAATCACTGTTATAAGCAGCAGTTGAACATGCTCAGAGTAGCTGGACTGTAGAACAAATCAGACATAGACTATACCTAAAGTGGGCATTTAGGTTATACTTAGGCCAGAACACTGGTGGCTGAAAGTGACTTTTTTTGCTGACAGTACATTAGCAGAACACAGTAGCATTACAGTCCACATCCATTTCTTCTGTAAAATACTTTTGTATCACTTCATTATTTGGCTGTCTCATTGCCTCAGTCAGCAGAGACAGGGGAGGGAAAAAAAAAGGGCCAACTAAAGCTCAGAAACTTTAATCCAAGAGCCAACTGCTGCAAGTCATAGATGTAGATCATGATGCATCTACTTGACAGTGATATTTCCAATCTTAAAATTAGTCAAATATTACACGCCATGCAGAGTTCATTATGGTTATACTGAAACTACAAGCAAAAGCCAAAAGCATTTAAGTGGGATAATACCTTGGATCCATCTGTGGTTTGAAAGCAACTTTCAGTTCTTCCACAGAAGCACATTGACTTGTAAGCTCTTCTAAGAAATCTTCAAATTTTGAAGGATCAGTGTCCACTGAGAATGAACTCAGCAAGTAGAAAATATTTGTGAAGTCTCCACCTGAAAAAGTGTGGTATGAGTAATGCAACTAATAAAATCAGCAGGAAAACTGGTCCCATACCTCCTTCCTACCTCCCTCTACAGCAGTACAGGTCATCACTCTGAAGAGGCAAATTGTTCCCTCAGTGAGGGTGCAAATGTGAAGCAGGAATCCTATATAAGGCAACAACTACTCCACAGTTCACAATAAGGTAATTATTTTTCAGTCTGTTGTTGTTCTCTCAGATGACAACGTAGTTGCACAAGGCTACTTTCTTGTAAGGTCAAGCTATAAATTGTATTTTGGGTTGATTATAGATACTGATGGCCTATTAAATAATAACCTGCTCTTCACTAACCTGTGAGATGCATGGTTTCAAGGAGCTCAGATACTAGCTTACTATCTTCTTCTAATTCCAGCTGGATTAGGCCTAGTTTTTTCCTCATCTTCTGCAAATAATGTTTCTCAAATTCTGCATCATATTCCTCTTCCAGGATGAGTTCACTTATTTCCAAAGGCAGCTCTGGAACTAGAGCTTCAGCAAGTTTCCCCAGGTTCCACTTGCAAATCTCTGGCTGTTTGTTGTAAGCATAGCGCCCTGTATTATCAGAACCATTGCAAATGTGCTCAGGGTCATACCTACAAATGAAGAAATAACAAGCATTCTTCTAGTTAACTGGACACCACTACTGTGAAAAGCAGTACTTTTATTATTTTAGTCTGCTCTAGGAACTAAAAAATTTGAAAGGGAATACTCCTTGGTTCTTTTCCCAAACACATGGGCTACAGTCTAATGGTTAGGGATGCTGTGAACAGTTAAAAAGAAGCTGAAAAGAAGACAACTAGAACTAACTTAACCTACTTTGCCATAAAGAGAATTAATAAAACTACTTTAGAGTTAAAATATTAGAGCAACCATGAATACCAGGACTGTTCTACATAGCATGTACATATGCACATTTCAAATAATGCTGCCACACTGACCTGTCCATGAATCCAAAAGGGCCATAGTCAATGGTCAGTCCAACGATGCTCATGTTATCTGTGTTCAGCACACCATGGCAAAACCCAACACACTGCCACTCAGCCACCAATCTTGCGGTTCGTTTGGTTATCTAAAACCAAATGTATTTCTTCCATTTTTCATCACAAAGTATTTCCAACACATTTATGTATTTTCAAGCATTTCCTAGTCTGAACTGATGTTTCTACAGCTCTGATGGAAGCAGATTCTGGCAGTATGCCATACACACAGACATCTTAAGGACAGCTTGCCTCTCTCATCTTGTTAGTGACTGCCCTGTTAGTCTGTCTCCCATTTCCATTTGCCTCCTATTCTCTGTTCCATGCTTGACTTGCAAATCAACAGAATAGCTTTAAAATGCACTGGAGACAGACTTGAGTACTAGTCTAACCATTATACAAATATATTCTTTTGCCTATTACTAATTTTAAAGAGTAACTAGAGGCAGAAGAACACATAAGCAAAGTCTAAGAAATAAAATTAACTATATGTAACAAAGCCCAGTATGAAGTTATTCTTCCGGTTTACCTAGTATGTAGGAGTGATTTACAGAAGTTAAATGGTTTACACAAAAAAATTATTCCCTGCAAACAGGTTTTAGTGCTGATAAGCACTTACCTCGATTTGCTGAGAGCAGAAAAAAGCTACAAGATTAAGTAAAAATATTCCAAGAATGATAATTTTATTTAAATGCAATTCTTTACTGAAAGCATGCTTCATCAGAGGTATTTCTGCTGCTTAGCTGAGAGTTATTTTTATGGAATCCTGCAATCACTGCATGTGCCCCATCCACCAAATAAATAGTGGAATATTCTAAAGTATTCCTAGTTATTTAAATATATTAATCCACCTGTCAATCAGAACTACTATGTGCTATGAAATCTAAAATTCAGGAAGCTAATCTGTTTTTTAAATAAACCTAAGTAGTTCTAAATACTTTACTAAGTTGCTGTAAGTAAAAATTTTATGTAGCCATTAGCTAAAACTTTTAAATCAAATTATTTTCATGGTTAAAATCACTCATCTTCCTGAACAGCTATCAATGTACAGAAATTCAAAGCAACTATTTGCTCCAGACTGCAGTGCAAGTGTATTTCATTAAGGTTCAAAAACCTATCTAGGAATTGTTTCTCCTTGAACATTTCTATGCCTCTGTCTTTAAACCCAGAATTTTTCTATTTTTTTTTTATTTAAAACATATGCAATCAGGTAAAGAAGAAAAATTAGACAAATCTTGCTCTGATAGGTAGTGAAAACCACAAATGATGCTTGGAACATAAGCTTTTGGTTCACCTTGAGATCCCATGCTTCTACTTTTGACAATATTCTCATGGGAGGTACTTTACCCATTTTTCCTGAACACTTCCTCGTGGGGCAGTTGGAAGCCAGCAGCTACATGTGTCCAAAACAGATTACTTAGGCCCTAAACCAGTAGGAGAGGCACACCCTGCACAATGGCTCTGTGCCAGGAAGATGGTAGAAGTTAAAAATAAAAAAATCCTGGCCACCAGGGTTGGAATGAAAGCAGTTCAGCAGTAAGGCAGTTCCTTACTGCTGGATGTCTTTGTATGAATGCATCACATACCACCAGCGTTGTGGTAAAAAAGAAATTCCCCTAATGGAAATGCCCAAAAGCAATTAAAGTTTGGGTGCCACTCAAGGATGGGTATATTGATGAGAAAAGATACAGCTTTGCACTCAGTTTGGGCTTTATTCTCTTTGATCAACATTTTTCTACTGCTAGACAAACTAGAAAACAAGTATTTTGTATATGTAAATAAGAGCACTATCTGAAGGACACACTCATTTAAATTTAAAGAACAGCTACAAATTATTTGAGAGGTACAGACAATGTTGCTGTTTTCTAGATAGTGCTGTGAAATGCCGTCACTTGTACTTTTTTTCCCATTTCTTTCACAGTGCAAAAAGAAAGATAAAACATGTTAGAGTTGAGCTGACAGCACTTCCCCGCTATTAAAAAAGATGGATGTGTTTGTCAAATTAGAGAAGAGACTGGGATGCTTTTCAGGTGGAGAAAAGTCTGGAAAGTCTCCACTAAGGATAAGAGAAAACACAAGAGGCAGTGCTAGCACAGACATGGAATGCAGACAGGTAGAGGCAGGAGAAGCACAACAAATAAACAAAAAAACCAGATATGGGGCAATGAGAAAAAGATGGTGGGGGGGTGGCCGGGCAGGGAGTGGGATGGGGCCCAGAAGAAAACCAGTAGTAACTGGGTCAGGAAAAGCAGCCAAAAGCAGGAAGAGGCAGGACTGGGCACACAAACACATCCACAAAGATCCTCAAGTCCCATGACTTTTCTGCCATCAGGAAGTAAACATGCCATCAACTACAGAGCTGGACATGCACACAGTGGGTGACAAGCTATAGTTCTCATCAAGTGATTTGTAGTCAACATTCCTGTTTGTAATTTGGAAAAATGAGACACAGGAAGTGACTCAGTATTCTCACTATTTTATAAAACAATGCTTTTCAAGCAATGTTTCAGTACTATCAACTCATCATCCAACAGTCACAGCCAGAACTTTCTCTCACAGTCTAAGACAGTCTCAGCAAATGGAGAGAAGTCTTGGGATGCTTCCCCAGAGCAGGGAAATCATGATCTACTATTAAGAAGGTTAAATTGCTTTCATTGGTTAGATCAGTATCAACACTGCTTTCATCAATAAGCAGGTCTATTTAAGAGTGCTTTCTTCAAAGAAAAGAATAGTTCAGACAATGAGATGATACAAAGTATTAACTGACTCCAGTCATCTGTGCTGGCAGATGAAGTTCCTAAAGACAACCGCTATGGATTATCAAGAGTCTCTGATCTTTCTTACCTCTTTGAAGAAAGCAGCATTCCTCTGAATACTGTTATCTGAATAAGCCTCCTGGATTTCTGGGTAGAAAGTGCGGATCACATAATCAAGCATCTGTATTCGAATATCATTTCGGTTAACGCTGGGACCCTTGCGTCCAGTGTATTCATCAGGAGGTTTAAAAATTTCAAACGAACCAAATCTGTTTCAAAATAATAAAAACATGTTTTAGAATTATCTGATGCTATTAACTTCATTTGACATTACAGGTAGTAAGACCATTTACTGTTGTTGTAATAACAGCACATTATCTCTTGAGTTTAAGGCCAATCCTTCAACTGACTGTGAGAAAAGACCTCCAAGATTCCTACGCTGAACCCAGTGAGGCTCAGTGGCTCAGTGTAAGGAAGCACATACATCCACTGAACCAAACTGACAGATCAAGACCCTAGCCAGTACTGAACACCAGTTCAATAAAGTTTCTTATGACCACTTCTAGAGAAGAATTCTTATCCTGAGTAAATGTACAGAAATTGGACTTTAATGCTAGACTGTATATCAAGCATATGTTAAGTTTTTCCACATATGTATACACACAGAAGCACATATACGCATATACGCATAGATATGAAGGCACATGTTCCTCATACCTCACTTTCCTCTAATATTGTTACCTTACAGGAGGCAGTACAACTTCCTGAAATGCCTACTGCCTTCTACTGGAGCAGGAACCTCATACGCTTATCAGGCAGAGAAAGTACAACCAAACTTTGACAGTACTACATTAGAACTGGAATTAAGGGTAGAGCTACAATCCACCACTACTATCATCAAAAAAAACCCTGTATTCTGAGCAGGCATAAACATGAAAAATCTCTTAATAAGTCTGCAGAACTTACTTCTTTCTATCAGGTTAGCATTCCTAGTGTTTTATCTGTGTCTGTGCAAAGAGACCAGCTCATCCCATCTGCTGGGCAAGAAAAACAGCTTCCTACAGCCCAGCAAAAGAAGTTCCAAGCCTCCAGAACAAGAAACACACAAACAGCACTGTCAGGAAAACACACTTAAGACTGCTGTGCTTGGTTTTAAAAGAAAAAAAAAAACAACAAACAAACCAATCAACAAAATAGGTTTTTACCTTAAAAATGTGGAGGCTATTCTCAGAACAACTGTACATCTCTCATTTTTTGGATTCCCATCATAAAATATGTCACGGACGACTTTTGAGTCAGACGTCACACATGTCCCAGCCCTTGTTGTTGGTATTCCCAGGTGAAACATCGCCTCGCTGCACAGGAACTCCCGTATGCTCGACCGCAGGACTTTCCGACCATCAGCTTGTCTGCAGCAAGAAGACATGGACAGTTTTTAGGCTATAAAGGCAGGAACTCCTGTCTCCTCTGTAGCAGTGGAGAAACAAAAGCCTGAAAGTTTTCATGCTCTGCCCACAGTCAAACAAAAAAGTAGTGGCATATCTGAAAACAAAAGCTGGACGTTCAAACTTCTGTTAAAGTTCAATTAGATGGACAAAACAGCCTTGCAATGAAGACCGCACAGAAGAAAATAAACCTTCCAGTTACACACATCCCTTCTAATCACTAACTCTATTGGTTTCATTAATGTAATAGTCTTTCCAAAAAATGAAAAAAATTTGGACAAGTATCGCTATTTTATTGTATATCAAGTGAATGGTTTCCTCTTATTAAAATGAAAAATATTATTTTGTATCTTTCTGGGTAAGTACTCTAGAAATGGGGTGCTAAATATGGGCATGCATAGCAGTTGCATTAAAAAAACCCTACCTGAACAGACAAAAAAGAGCAAACTAGCATATTTAATAGATATTAAGTAAAGAGAACAGATGCAGGTGGTTCTCAGCCCACGCTCCCAGCACTTTGAAAGCCACAAGCAAGCAGGAGAGCTGACCAGGGCAGATCTATGATGTTACCACCATATCTGGGATTTTTACTGTGATTTCCTTAATCTTCACAGACCTGAAGAAGGCCGTCAGAGGACCACATGCATGAAACTAAGGCGCTACCGAGCCTGTGCACAGCTGGAAAAAAAATATGGAAAATGCGAGTGGGAAAAATTACATGAAATATTTAAAGTAGTGCAGGCTCATGCGACTAATGAAGATACACAACCCTTGCAGGAATTTGGTCAGTATGCCATTTTGGGGGCTTTTCCACTATTCCCTCCCACAGCCGGGAAGAATGGGGGAGAAGGACCAGCAGCACAACCAAACACCCACATTTAAATACCATTTGTGTGGGCCATAGGGCAGCAAGCAAGGTGTGGTATTACACAGCGCCATCCCCACTGTCATCAAGGTCTCTGTTCTCCCAAAGGGGGAAAACCCGTACAGGATAACCAGAGACTGAAGTAACACGCCACCTGAAGGAGATGCCGTTACACTCGTTTTCCAGAGGAAAAGTTTGCCACCTCCTGGTCTGGCATTTAAGTATTACACTTGCTGATGCCAAAATTAAAAAAAAAAAAAACCAAAAAAAACCCCACAAACCAAAAACAAACAAAACACCAGAGCTTAAGGGATGACTTCTGCCCGGAGAACGATGCCCAGCACGGAGCCAGCCCCTCGCTAACGCGATCTGAGGGCCGGCAAGCCGGTCCCGGTCCTCCCTGCACAGCGAGCTCGCCCCGCAGGGGACACCGGACGCTGCTCCCCCAAACCCGCGCCCCGCCGGGCTGTTCCGACAGGGTCCCGCCCCGCTCCCCCCGGGCCTTACCGGGAAAAGGGGGTGATGCCGGCGCCCTTGAGCTGGATCTCCCAGCGCTCGCCCCGCGGGCCCAGCACCTCGCCCAGGTACATGGCGGCGCCGTCGCCGAGCTGCCCCGCGAAGCTGCCGAACTGGTGCCCGCAGTAACAGTGCGCCGCGGGCTC